GTTATGACAGATAAAAGTATTGAAAATTGTGATTCTTTGTGGGTTAGATACAAGAAGAGGTTGGCAGATATATATTATCTTCACAATAGATCTTGCTTTACCATCATTAGTACCATTTTTATAACAGATCTTGTATTGATGGGAAAATTGAGATGTACCAAGTCTGAGTGGAATCGGAGGCCGGATTTCGCATTTTCGCGTGAACTTTATGGATACTCAAAATTTTAACCCTATGGTGGGGAGGTACCAGGTGGAGTGGATCAATAATATCCCAATTTCACACCAGACCTTGGCTTAACTAAAAAATTGTGATGTGTGTAATCTGAAGAAACCCGTATGCTTATTTCGAATTTTATGATCGTTTTAGTTACTCAAAACTTTGACCCTTTGTGGGGGAGGTACCAGAAGGAACGGACCGATATATTCCATCTTAACCCCAGTCCTTGGGTTGATAAAAATATTGGGGTGTGTGAAATTTTAAGACAACCGGTCAGTTACATCACATTTTATATTAGTTGTAATTATTCAGTTTTGACCCATTGTGGGGGAGGTACCACATGGAGTGGACCGATATTGCCTATTTTCGCACCTAAGCTAGCACTGATGGTGATAATAGGATTTGAAAAGTTGGAGCAAAATCGGATTATCCATTCTCTTAGTATGCAATATAATATTTTCTTTGACATTTTTGACATTTTGTGGGGGAGGTACCAGAAGGAGTGAATCGATAGTGTCTATCCTAACACCAGACCTTGGGTTAATATAAATATTGGGATATGGGAAATTTGAAGACAATCGGACGCTTTCGTCACATTTTTTGAGAGTTATAATTATTCAAAATTTTGACCCTTTGTGGGGGAGGTACCAGAAGGAGTTGACCGATATTGCCTATTTTCGCACCTAACCTAGCACTGATGCTGATAACAGGATTTGAAAAGTTGGAGCACAATCGAATTATCCTTCCTCTTTCTGTACAATATAATATTTTCTTTGAAATTTTCGACATTTTGTGCGGGAGGTAGCAGAAGGAGTGGACCGATATTGCCCGTCTCCGAACTCAATCCTAGTTTGACAAAAATATTACGATATATCAACTTTGGATCAAATAAAATACTTCCTTTTAGTGTTATCGTGCGCACCAGTCAGACAGACAGACGGACGGACATCGCTAGATCGACTCCAAATAACCTGAAACAGATTTGGTTCAAAGAGAACTAGGCTGTAGAAACTCTATTTCCATGAGGCACTTTCTGGCCGTATCAAATGATATATACCCTCTGTAGCCATATGTCTGAAGGTATAATGAGTCATAAATCATCAGAATACTGAATATCAGCAGGTACCGTTCCATTAGGGGTAAGTAAGTAAGTCTAAGTATCGAATTTTAAACAATTGTGTTTTCGAAAAATACCGTTACATTGGCTCCACCTGAAAACGTGGATCTATATAGACAATTCTTTCCATCACAATTTTATGTAACTATGCTTCTGTAGAGCTGAAACCCTCTGACTGGAATGAAAGAAACCCTCAATAATGTTCCTCAAAACGGAACAGGTTTGCAATATTTGACGATCGTTACGAATATGATGATGTCTTCCCGGCGAAAACAATGTTTTTTTTTTGCGACATTGTATTTAATATGGCCTTAGTTACTGCAGTAAAAATATTCCTTACACTGGCCTTGACTTTTTCATTAGTGCCTTTGTTTTCATCCTATGTAAGCTCTATTATTAAAATGCTATTCCTTCTTATCTGAAGGAAATTACACATTTTTTATGATTTCTCACCAATGCTCTGTCACAATTAACATTTACACCCTTTGCTGTGGATAATTGTTTTCCGAACACAATTATCTCGGCATTATGTTGAAAAGTTTTAATTAAGTTTATAGTTTGTTGGAGTTTTTAGAAAGTTTGTTAATATTGTTCGCCAACAATATCACAATTAATAAGTTTTCATTTCATTACAGTGTCCACAATGTTACTCATATAAATGCTTTGTCAGTTGTATGTATGTAGGTGTACCATTAGAATCATTGCTATGGCCGATTGGGGAGATAATTGTTATTAAAATGTTACAGTTTGGCATTGCCATTTTACAAAGGGACATAGAAGACTATTTAACTATCAGTGTTTTGGTAGTTAAGAATGTTTCAATGCAGCGCAGTCTATATATGTACATGTGGACGTATGATACTTATTTGAAAATTGATTTTAATTATCATACGCCCACAGGCCCACAATAATATGTATCAAAAGTAAGAAAGAGCTTAAAAGGCGGCAATCTTAAACTATTTTCCCTTCATTTAAGAATAGATTTTACATTATAAATATATTCAGCAATATAAATAAATAGAGAATAAATAAACATACAAATAAAATTAAAATTATTCCAGTGACAGCAGATTATATTGTTTACAACAGTTCGAAAGCATTTTGGTGAGAATTTTCCAGAAAAAAAGTTATTCGTGATGGAATTCAAGCGTGATAGTGTGATTTCTTTTCTTTCTTTTTCTAGAAAACCTCAAGTGGCTATCGTTAAAGCAAGCCAGCATTTAAATGTGAATAAATCTTTTGTGTCTCGTACCATCGCTCGTTTCCGTGATACTGGTAGCGTAGCCCGACGTCAAGGAAGTGGATGGAAGAAAACAGCAACATCAGCAGAAATGATTCGAAAAGTAAAGAAGCGACTTGATCGAAACCCGCGTCGCAGTTGCCGAAAAATGGCTCGTGAGATGAACATATCGTAATATTCCATTCGGCAAGTATTGTAAAATGAGCTTAGGGTAAAGCCTTTGAAATTCCAAAAAGTGCAAGAACTTACAGCGCAACAGAAAGAAAATAGACTCAAAAGAGCTAAAGAGTTGCTTCGCTTGGCCGAAAGTTGTGAACTGCCGAATTTGGTTTTCTCCGATGAGAAAACATTCATTGCCCAGCAGTTTGTAAGCAAACAAAATGATTGTGTTTACTTGCCAAAGAGGTCAGCTGAAAATGTGCACCTTCGGTTGGCCACCAGAACTCACGCGCCAGCCATGGTGATGGTGTGGGCCGCCATAACAGCCGATGGTCGCTCTCCGCTCGTATTAATCGACCGTGGCATCAGAATAAATGCCAAATATTATCGCGAAAATATTCTGGAGGTTGTATTAAAGCTTTGGGCATGCAAACATTTTGGCCACAGACATTGGACATTCCAACAGGACTCAGCACCATCGCACTCAGCACCCAAAAGTGGTTACAAAATGAGGTTCCTCGCTTCATTTCCAGTGCACAATGGCCACTAAATTCTCCGGATACCAACCCGCTGGACTATTGTGTCTGGAGTATTTTGGAAAGCAAGGTTGGCACTTAAAAATACCAAAGTGTCGATCACCTCAAGCTAGCTCTCTGCAGGGAATGGACCAAAATACCGCAGAGCAACATTCGGGCAGTGTGTGACGGTTTCATTGGCCGTTTGAAGGCCACAATTCGTGCCAAAGGTGACCAATTCGAACAAATCTAAACTTATTCTGAAATGTTATGCTATTTCCCGCATTTTCTGTTTTCGTTCAATGAAATTTAAAAAAAAAAATGTAAAAATTAGGGTTTTTGACTTTATTACAGTTTTTTATCTCACCCTGTGTATGGGAGCTATATTCTAATTTGAACCGATCTTGATAATATTTGGCAGAGATATTCCCGAGCTCTGTAAGATATCTGGCGCCAAATATCATTGTTATCGAATGCATATTACGAATGTGAGGGACTTAAACACCAAATCGGATAAAACATATATGTGGGAGCTATAGCTATATCTGAACCGATTTTCGCCAAATTTATTTTTACTGACTTCGGTCGGATATACCAGAATTCAGTTAATTTGGACTAATAGTGGGTATTTGGTGCACAATTAATCTGAAATCGGTTTAGGATATATATGGGAGCTATATCAAAATCTGAATTGATCGTGAACAAATTTGACACACGTAATATACTTTGTCATGGAATGCATATTACGCTAAACCCCCAAATCGGAGAAAATAAATATGGGCTATATCTGAACCAATTTGCACCAAATTTGAAGTACTGCTTTCTAGGATGAATTCAGTCTGTTTGGGCTGATATTAGCAATTTGGTGCACACTAAACCTGATATCGGATAATGATATATATAGAAGCTAATCTGAACCGATCTCGATAAAATTATACAGAGATATTTTTGATCAGTATCTGATGTTTGGTACCAAATATCATTCTTCTGGAGTGCATATTACGCATGTGAGGGACTTTAAACTCCAAGGATAAAACATATATTTGGAGCTATATCTGAACAGATTTTCTCCAAATTTGATGTATTTGCTTCTAGACAGAATTCGGTGCGATGTACCAAAATATAGGACATTTCGACTTTTACTGGTCATTTGGTGCACAACTATCCCGAAATCGGTTGAAGATAAATGGGAGCTATATCTAAAATTGAACTGATTCTCACCAATTTCAATAGGGGTTGTCCTTGTGCTCAACAAATGCTGTTTAGAAAATTTCATCTCAATCGGATAATGAATGCGACCTTCATTTTGTTCAAGAGAATACATGGACAGACTAACGGAAAGACAGACTGACAAGCATAAAACGACTCAGAAAGTGATTATATGAAGATCGTCAAAAGTAACTATGGGTCTATCTCGCTTCCTTTTCCATGTTACAAATAAATGCACAAAGACATAATACCCTTACCACTATGTGGTGTGGGGTATACAAATAACTTCGCCTGATTCTGATTTTCTACGGTGATTTTATTAGAGGTTCACCGTTTGCAACAGTCCTAGCTCACTTGTGGGAACATTCTGATCTGCCTAGTCCTAGCTCACTTGTGGGAACATTCTGATCTGCCTCTGTTTCCTACACCCCTCCACGTTACTTAAAAAAATACCAATGTTCTCACATATGTATAATTAATCAAATACAGTTTATTTAACCCACGGCCCAAATCCGATTTATTTTCAATACTTTTCATAAAATATTATCCATAAACTTTTTCCAACAAAGTGAAAACGCTGTAGGTTATCTTTACCAGTACCTGTAGCCTTCGCAAATTAACTGGATACGATTTGACAATTAAAATCTAAAATTTGGAGAACAATGTAAAATAATTTTTTCAAATGACCTCAAATCATATATGCTCTGTTCCTGAACCTGCAAGAATATACTAGTTTTGCAATTTTCTTCGACCGACATTCTTGCAGTTCTGGAACATGGCAATTGACTTACTGCACATGGTTTCTGGGATCTCAGGAGCAACAACTTCAAAACTACTTGTGTGCGAACATCATAATTAAACCAGTTTATATCATAGGCGGCTGTTGAAATCTGCAGACTTTCATAGAACACCTCGTTGGAAAAGTAGTATAACAGAAAAGCTTGGGTAAACACCATGGTGATATAAACTGTTATAATGCATTTTTGAGTTACAGTCTTTACCTGGAATATGAAATTATTAATACAATTATTTTATAACTTTTATTTAATTAATTTATTTTTTTTAAATAATTTTTTTGTTTATGTGAATATTTCCTTACCAAGATAAATGATAACAGCATAATGCACAGCACAATGACAAATAGTAAAAAGTCCATTAGGGCAATAAAACCGCACAGCTCATTGATTTGTTCAATGAAACTGCCAAAAATATAATAAATTAAATATATTATTTAAATTTATTTAAATTATATATTTTATACCTTATTAATCTCAAATGCAACTTAATGCACTCAACAATTTTCCTCTCAACAATTTTCGAAGAAACCTCTGTACAAGTTCTACTCAGTTTATATTGCAATACCTTTGATATGGCTATGGCAAACATAAAATACGATATAAACATTGCTGTAAATGCTATAAATATACACATCGCCGAGAGGTTTAAAACACTTTGGCCCGTTAGCAGTATCTCATACCAGGGACTTTGATACTCTTTCAAATAGGGTACGTATATGCCAAAAATAAATTCTGAAAAGATATACAAAATATTAAATTTTTTATACACTCCACCATTATATGGATATATTAAGTTTGTCATTCCGTTTGTAACACCTCGTTCGCCTGTCGGCCTGGCCGTATATGGAAATCACTCTGACTTCTGAAGGAAATGAAATAGGCTAATAATATTTTGTTCAGATGTATTTTATATCTGCAAGACTTTTGGTATTGAAGATGGGCCAAGGAGATCTAGGGTTTGGTATAGAATTGTATCGCACGAATTTGCTGTAAATTTGCAATTTGTGTCCCCAGTATGTGGGCAACATTTGTTAATAGAACTGTCTGTATTAGTAGAAGTTTTGGAATAGTCCCCACATGACTGTACCTCCTTTTCCACACTCGGAGCATTGCAGAGTTCTCGCTATAGTAATATCGAATACTCTTCCAAATTTCTTGATTGTTCAAGTCTGGGTAATTGTCAAATCCACCCGGTAGAATTGTTGTATCATCCCGGATTCACTGTTTCATTGTCCCGTGGTCCAAATGCTTATACAGGTCTTGACTCGGAGATACGTTAGCCTTACCAATCCCAGATACGTTCACCTCAGCACGGACCGAAGACTGCTACGTTAAAGTTAGCATATGTAGAATAACAATAAACGTACTTGAACCGAAACAAATGTCTTTCTCTTTCTGTCTCAACAAATAAACTTCTGCATCTCGACTAGCTATTCCTGCCCAAAGGGAGAAATCCTGTCATTACAAGTGTCTTCGGCAATATGGCAGATACAAATAGGAGGCATATTTTGTTTAGAAATTTTAATCTTAAATCGAGTTGACAAAGTGCTCTTTTTTGGCTCTTTTCTCAAAATATGGTTGAAAACTCCCTTTAAATGGAATCGTAGTATGTAAAAATATTTTACAAAATGTATTGTCATAAAATTCTACAAAAAGTGCAAAAATACGTCGAAGTCTAAGTCTTACCCAAACGCAAGGAAATCATATACATAAACTGAAGTGGCGTATTAGTATTAAAGCCGTATTTTATGTGAGTCTGTGCAAAAATCTCCAACAATGAATTATTTTAGAAGGATGACGTCAAAGACAAATATATTCTTCATCAGATTTCACAATTAGTTACTAAAGAAAATAAATCTATATCACCATTGTATGCCAAAAACAAATATTTGTATCAAAATTCCCAAGAAACAAGATATTTCTCGATTTTTATCCATTTTTTCATTTGATTTTTTTCGAGTTTACGCCTGAAGTAACATAAAATTTCGTCTCAGGCTGAAGGTTTTATTAGAAGAAATGTTTTGCACAAAGTTCCAATATATATCTCAGAATAAATTATATGTATAGGTACAATTGTTTTCAAAATAATTTCTTTCGAAATTTATGTGCTAAATTATGTAAAAGTTATGTTTGTTTTTTACTGTTGAACACTTTTCATGTCCGAGTCAAAATTTCCCTTTCTACTTCATTTTTTGGTGAAAGCGTTGTGGAAAGAATTGTTCGAAATCGGATTTCATTTCTCTAAACAAAAGAAATTTCTAACATCTATATGTACCATGAAAAAAAATATTATTAATTTTTGTTAACAAAAATTTGATTATTTTTGAAAATTTAGCAATTTTTCCCAATCCGCTGCAAATTTTATCATATATTGGCTCTAAGGCCAATCATTTTAAAGCCCTTATATGGGTTTGACATTATTCGATTCGAAGTCTCCAAATCTAATCATTTCATTTCAGTCTGTCTGTAGTAATCACGCTAACTTTTCAAAGGATTCAGATGTAAGTCTAAAATTTTGCACACATGTCTATTTGCCAGTAGGCAGGTTAAGGTTAAGTTCTTACACTGAACGAAAAATGCTTCATTGTATCAATTAACCGGATTCGTTGATTTTTTTCATTGATGAAATAAAAGCTACATTAATATAATAAATTTTTTGTTCATGCAATGAAAACTTACGTTGCTTTTAAATTCAATGATTCAGTATTCGGTATTTTGATGATGTTTTTTTACCGGAATTATTTCAAATTTCGTATTTAAAGTTCATAATAGGTATTAGAGCTCATAACAAAAATTACATATGAAGAAACACGTCTTCATATAGCCCCCCTATAAGGGTTATCCCATATGCAGGTCCACGTCATCGTATAGACCCATATAACGAAACCTCCCGATATTCGGTATTTTGATGATTTTTTTGACATTATTAACCGGAATTGTTTTAAATTCTGTAGTTAAATTTCGTAATGAGAACTTTGCTTCTTTTTTACTTGTTAGTACTTAAATTGCAATTTTTGTTCAGTTTCACAAAATTTCTCAATCAAAATCTCACACTTCGTATTACTAATTATCAGACTTTAAAGGTTTTCTTTATTATTCCGGAAAGAATTATGGAAATTGTTTCAAAATTTTTCAATTTGAACTTAAACGAGTAGGATATTAGTAAAATTATTGCAAATGGACCCTTTTTGTACAGTAATAGTACATATTTCTCTAAACCACCATTTAGGAAAACCAAATTTTAGGATTCAAGCTCTATCTATTCTCTCAGCGGAAAATGTTGTGTCATTTAGTACTTTTCGTACCATTATAGTTTAAATTTCCAAACCCACCTTCATATCTCACTTCCAGAGGCCTCGGTATTAAATTTGAGGATTTTAGCCCTATCCTTTCACCCAACAACAAATTTAATAATTTTAATACTTTTCGTATAAAAATAGGATGCATACCTAAACTATAGTCAAACATTAAACTCAGATACCATCAGTAATCTAAATATCATATTTTAGAATTTTATCTCTATCCCTTCATCTAATACCAAATATGGTACCAGTCAGTAGACTATAGTATATATAGTCAACTATAGTACACATTTCCGAAACCACCTCCATATATCCAGGCTACACTGAACAGCGATCCTAATACCAACTTTTAGAACTCAAGCAATATCTGTTCACCCAATACCACATTTTAGCACATATAGAATATATAGTTCTTTTCGGGCACTTGCAGTGTGCATTTCCAAAACACCCTCTTTATAACAAACCACAAACCATCCACCAACAGGGACCATTATAAAATATTTCAAAATTCTAGCTTCATCCGTTCACCCTAAACCAAACTGTTCCAAATTTAGCACCATTACTTTTCCAACAATTATAGTACACATTTTCAAAATCAACTCCATAATTTAGCCACAGCAACCGAATTTTAGGATGTTATCTCTATTCCTTTACCCAATACTAAATTCAGTACTATTTAGTACTTCTCGTACAATTATGGTACACATTTCCAAAACCACTTCCATATCTTAATTCCAGAGATCTCAATATCACCCAATACCCAATTTAGTACCATTTAGTACTTTTCGGACAAATATAGAACGCTTTTCTAAACCACCGTCCAATCTCAAACACAAATAGAAGCCTTAAAATCAAATTTCATAATTTTATCTTTATCCATTCACCCAATACGAAATAAAGTACCATTCAGTACTTTTCGTACAATTATAAATATTACACATACCGAAGTAACCTCCAAGTGTCCAGGATTTTTCAAAAGACCAGCTATAATTCTGAATATTTTAAAGGATTAGCTATAATTGTGGATTTTTAAACAACCAGCTACAATTGATAATTTTTTTATGAACAGCTAAAAATTTGATTATTTAGAAGACAAGTTATAATGGTGGGGTTTTAAAGGACCACATTTAATTGTGGATTTTTCAAAGGACCAACTATAATTGCGGATATTTTAAAAGACCAGCTATAATATTGGGTTACTTAAAGGTCCAGCTATATTGGTGGGTTTTCACAGTACCACCTATAATTGTGGATTTTTTAAAGAACAAACCTTTATTGTGGACTTGTTAATGGACCAGCGGATAGTGAATATTTAACCCCGGATTTTTAAGGACCCGATGTGGTCACAACTTTCATTCCAAATATTATATTTAGAATTATTATAAAAATCAATATTTTTCCTATACTCACCCCTCTCCTCCGAAATGATGGGAAACACTGTAAATCCCACCGTTGTCAGCATGCCCATGATGAGATTTATTTTCGATATTTTCAAAACCATCGCCGTATGGTCTTCCATTATTCGACATATTTCCGCATCACGTTCCATCATCAACTCCTCATACATCTGCCTGATATGCTCCAATAATTTACAGAATTTTTTACGATTCGTTACCATGACCACGGTTCTCAAAAATGTGTTGAACATTAGCATGGTCATGTAGATGTCGTGTATTTTGTCATTCAGCTCTTTTTGCGTTAAACACAAATCCATCAATTGAAAAATATTTAACACGAAGAAGGGTATGTAGGTAAAATATTGACGCCAATTATCATCGATGAGAACTGACCAGAATTTGAGAATTCTCACATTGAACCACAACATTGGAACATCTTCAATATTTTTAATTTTGTTAGAGTATTTTGAAATTTGTTGTTCTTTTTGTTGCATGGAAATCCTCATATTGTTTTTCTCGTTTAAAAGAGAGGTAATTTTTATTCTGTTACTTTCCACTTGGAGGTTTGGTAGAATATTGTTGCCCAATCACTACTTTGTTGTTAGTATTTCGACACATGGTGTGTTGAGTTTGAATTATTTATCATTTGAATAACTTATTTTAAAAGTTTGAAAATTTCTCACCAAACTTTAACTTCCTCTGGTGTTTTTAATTACCAGAAAAACATGAAATTTCAAAAGTTTCAAACAAAAAATAAGGTATAACAAAAAGGGCGACAATATTTTGATTTGATGTGTATACGTAGTGATAATACTAATACGCCCTACTATCCATGTCGGGATTTCCTCCATTAATTACTGGTTTGTTTAATCGTTACTGTTACGTTTGAATCTAGAAAAAAGCCGCAGATTCAGTTTTGAGTCAAAATTGTACTATAGCACTTTTCCAATGTTTTTAAAAATATTTTCAAAATGCACAATTGTTTCAGCGTGAAAACATTTTTTTTATTAAAACTTCATGCATCGCAGTCAATTTTTAGATTTTCAATGTTTACCTTTTCACCAAAAAATCTTCGAAGTCTTTCATTTTGGAATTTACCGAGAGGGTATTAGTAAAACCATTGCACAATGGACCCACATCCAATCTCTCTGTCCAAAACAATTTCATCCGCTCCATATGTAAACCTAAAAAACCAACAGTGACCTCAATATTCAAATTTCATTGTTTCAGCTCTATCACTTCACTCAATATCAAATTTAGTAACATTTAGTATATATTTCTAAAATAATCTACATCTCTCCATCCTAAACACCAATAATGATCCAATTTTAGTACCATTTATTAAATTTCGTACAATTATAGTATACATTTCCAAAACCATCTCCATATCTCAATATCAGCTACAAACATACACCTTAATATGCAATTTGAGGATTCCAGCCATATCCCTTTATCCAATGACAAATTTGGTATTATTGAGTACTTTTCGTACAAATTTAGTACACATTACCAATACCACCTCCGTACCTTAACCACAGACACCAAAAGTGACCTTAATGTGGAATTTCGGGATTCCAGCTCAATCGGTTCACACAAATCCAAATTTAATCAAATTTTATTCATATCAGTACTAATTTCCAAAACTTCCTATAGAACCCAATCCTAAACTCAGCAAGTAAAATTGTATCAGTCGGTTTTGCCGACAGATGTATGACCCCCAGACTTGAGTTATGATTATTCAATCTGTTGACTCTTTATGCGGAAGATTCCGAAGCAGTTGGCCACTATTGACCAATTCGTATCTGAACTAATACTACAAACGGGTCAGATTTGGATTATATAGACTATTTCCTATACTTTATATGTGCAAAGATATAGTATTCCATTTTAATCTAATACAGCTAAAAATATTGGTATGTGCAAAATTTGAACGGAATGGAACATTTATATTCAATTTTATTCGAAATCATAATTTTCGATAAATTAAATATTCATATCAGATTCTTGGTTAAGAAAAATATTTAGATGTTGAAAGCTGTAAAGAATCGTCGACTTGTTTCGCAAGTTGACAGATATAAGTATTTTGACGCTTCGTGGGTGTGGTACCAGAAGGTGTTGGTAGATATCTATCATTTTCACAACAGATCTTGTGCTAGCAAAAATGTTTGGATGTGTGAAATTAGAAGAGAGTTGAATGCTTATTTCTTTCTTCTTTTTTTTTTTCAAAATTCTGAATACTTTTTTGGGGTAGTACCAGAAGAAGTGTGCCTAAATATCCAATTCTCGCAGCAGATTTTGTATTAGTGAAAGTAATTGCATGTGTGACATTTGAAGAGAACAGGATAGTTATTTCGGATTTTATGATAGTTTCGGTTATTCAAAACTTTGATGACCCTTTGTGAGCGAGGTACCAGCAGATATGGTCTGATCTCTATCTTCTTTATAACAGAGCTTGCGTTGATAGATGTATTGAAATGTACCAAGTCTAAATGAATGCCAGATGTCACATTAGCGTTTTATGAGATTCATGAAGATTCGAAATTTTGACCTTTTGTGAGGAGATACCACAACGAGCGGACCGATATATTCCATCCTCAAACCAGATCTTGGGTTAAATTATTGTGATGTGTGTAATTTTAAGACAATCGGACTCTTACATCACATTTTATAAGAGTTACAGTTATTCAAAATTTTGACCCATATTGGGTGAGGTCCTTCATGGAGTGGACCGATATTGTCCATTTTCACACCTGAACTAGCACAGATGCAAATATTGGGATTCGCAAAGTTGGGGCAAAATTGGATTGTCCTTTCTCTTTCTGTGCAGTAAATTATTTTCTTTGAAAATGTTGATATTTTGTGTGGGGGGTACCGGAAGGAGTTGGCCGATTTTGCCCATATCCGAAATCGATCTAAATTTGACAATAATATTACTATGTGCCAATTTTGAATGAAATCGGATACCCCCTTCGAGAGTTATCGTGCCCACCAGCCAGTCCGACAGATGGACGAACAGACGGACATCGCTAGATCGACCACAAATTTCCTAAAACGGACTTGATCCAAAGTTATTTCAATAAGGCACGTTTTGCCCTATCAAATATTTCGTTTTGCCCTGCAGCCATATGGCTGAGGCTATACAAAATATGGCTTATATCGACAAAATAAAGTAATATTGGGATGTACCGTTATATGGGGTCGTTACTAAAATGTGGACCTACCATTCCAATATATAGTCCTTGACATTGTAAGGTAACAAGTAGTCTTGCACCAAAATTCATCCACCTCTGCAAATTCCTTCTAGTTCTAGTTTTGGCCACTGTTTATACAAACTCAAGACATAGAGCGGCGCCGAACATATGGTATTCTACACCACTCAAATGTCATATGTCTGATACCAATATATATTTGGTACTAATTCCTACACTTTGTGCACTTTCAAAATCACCTTCTCTTTCTCAGTCCACCTTACTTAAATTATCTTATCGTTTAGGCAACATTAGTGGTACAAAAATTGGTACCACCTATTATACACAATTTTAGTACTTTTCGTACAAAGCCCCCTACAACAATAGAGTCTGCCATTCTGGTTTTTTATGTTCAGTAATTACCGCCTTGCAATATGTATCGAATATCTTAGATACATCATTTACATCTATACACTCTCAGGTAAATCATAGCGATCGCACTATACAAAACTCCCATACATATGATTTGTCAAATTCTGTTGTTACGATATTTAGCATACTTTTATAACTACGCTATGCTGTACAAATATTCAAACACCCATTTTGTATACGACTGTGGTTATTATAGAGAAGACCAGATACAAGAATTTGAATTTAAATTATTCCAGAGCATTTTAAGCAATACAAATATGTGAAGCAACTTTTTTACAATCCGTACTGAAGCTTTCTGCTCTTTCATTTTCTTTTGTTTTTCATTTCACTTTATGTTTTAATTGGATTCCATCTAGTGGCTACATCCTTCCTTGGTATGAAGTCATGTAGTTTTGCAACATATTACCTATCGCAATAAACTACCCGAAATCTTGATAGCCTTTATTTATACATAAGACAATACCCCCCAAAAAATATGCTACAATCCGATACCTAAATCTTGCTTAGAACAACTACCACAACATCTTGCAATTCCTTCCTTAGCGGTTGTGTCTTTCCATGTTTTCTTGGGTATAATAAATCTCGGATTTTCTTCTCTTCTTCTTTCTCACCTTAGGTTATTTCATATTTATAAATAATTTACAATGTAAGTGGAACATTTTGCAGGATACCTGGCACACCTGGTTTTAGTTGTTTCTTTTTGTTGTTGTTTTTCTGTTGCTTTGGAAGCAGAGAAGCTAAGGAGCATTTCTTCCCGGCATAATGTTATTATCATTCGTAAACATCTGAATCACGTTGTTTGTCATAAATATTTAAATAGTTTAGTTTTTAATAAAGTCCAATAAGACAATGTAGTTAGCAAAGTTGGTGTTAATACCTCGGAGGGAGATAAATATTTATAAATGTTGGTTGTAAATAATATGTATTTGAATTTATAATAAAAATATCTGTTTTGCATCTGCTGCTGGGATGTGGGTGGGGAAAAAAGATTTATTAAAAACATATTTATTTCGGGGAAATCGGAGAAAATTGTGTTCTAGAATAATACCTACATAACTGTTATATTTAAAAGCGATTTCGTTTAAAATTTACAGAGCTCTTTAATCTTTAAAAATTTATTTTGACAGCCATTTTCAGAGGAAAACATTCCTTAAAATTTATAAAACTGTCATACCTTACTAACAAGTGCCTGGTACTGCAAAAAGTCCATCAAGTGTTAGGACTTTTTATACCCTCCACCTTGGAAAGGAGGGTATATTAACTTTGTCATTCCGTTTGTAACATGTCTAAATATTCGTCGTAGACCCCATAATGTAATATATTCATAATCAGCATAAAATTCTAAGTCGATTTAACGATGTCCGTCTGTCTGTTGAAATCATGATACAGGCCACATTATTTGACGTAGAGCGTCAAAATTTAGCAGAATGTTTGTATTGTGTCTAGGATGGTTGGTGTTGAAAATGACATATATCGGTCTACATTTTGGTATAGTCCCCATATAACGGTACCTCCCGATATTCGGTATTTTGATGATTTTTGCCGCATTTTTTCATGGATTTGTCTAAAAATTGGTATTTGTTGGTCATAGTGGATTCTAGCTGCGGTGGCGAAACATTGCATGTATAGGTCGGCGTTTTGGT